GTTGTTTTGTTTACAAGTCTGTATATGTATATCCTTGTTGAATGACTTGTAATGTTATCGTTTATGCTTTATGGTCTGTATCGGAACATGACATCCCGATTTTTTATTATGAAATGAAATTATATTTCTTTATGAAATGTTTTGATAAAAATCTATTTTATCATGTTTTGTTTTTGGGAACAAATTCCGCATCTCTTTTAAAATCAAAAGGATTTACTCTGAAAATGTTTAAAAAGCATAAATGAAACCGGTCTTTTCTGGCCGAGATTTTGGGGATGTCACACAACTCCCTAATTAGGCCTCATTCCAAGATCCATTATCAAACTTGGACCAAAAAATTATATTCATAAAGTCCAGCAAAGGCCCAAATCCAACTAGTCCACAAACAGCCCAAATGCGAAAGGCCCAATAGAGGACGTACGCGAGGCGTACTCCTCTAGTACGTGGGGCGTACTTGTCCTGATGTTGACCACTATCGGGGTGGTTGACCCGATACGATGGGTGTACGTAGTGGTTTGCCAAAATCTGAATAAGTGCTTAATAGCTTAAGCACTTAAGCCCAAACTTTAGATCTAGTGACCAAATGTGCCTAGGACCCATAAAGTCATGAACTTTATCACTTTGTACATCTAGAAAGCTCTTAATACTTGTTCTTAATCCATTAAGACCTTCCTACTCCATGCATGGGACATCTTAAGCCATTGAGACCACATTTTTATCACTCAAAACCCCTTCAAGAGTCTAGAAGGAGAGTTCATTTCGTCCCAATCACATCATGCACCATCTTGGAAATTTTTGGGACAAGAAATGGTTCTTTAAAGCAAAAATGGAAAGATCTATACATATATGCATAAACTTTGAAGCTTTTTACCTTCTGGAGCTTCTAGGGCACAAACCAACTTCATATCTATATGCTTGATCTTCTTCTCCAACTCCTCAATACAACACCTTCTTCTTAAAACACTCAAGAAACACTCAATAAGCTCAAACACTCAAGGAAATGGCTAGGGTTTGGGGAAAACGACTCTAAGCAGTGAAGGCTGGGGTAAGGGAGGGTTTTATGCTCATAATGTTGCTTATATAGCCCCCAAACCCTAAATATTAGAGTTTTCTTCTGTCATGAGTACGCCCATCGTACACAAGTGTACGCCCAACGTACTAGGGCACACCTAGTACGCTCAGTGTACCATTATGTACGCGCATCGTACTCCTCCTGATCCCAAAATTACAATTTAGCCTTTAGGCTTTTCATGGCTTCACCCTTCCATCCTCAGGGACTATAAATGATAAATCTTGGGATGTTACATGGATGAAACAAGTCCATCATGTAATAACTCATAGTACTCATATTACAACATGCATTGTCCAAGGTATCCATATACCCAAACTGGATCTTATTGTTGTGATGAATCTACTTCATCCCTCATGTATCACGTTGCTAGCAAAAACTTATCTAGAAACATCAATGCCTTCGATAAACCTCCAAACCTCGTAATATATCTGAACCACATAAACGAACAATTGTACATATAAGGTTATACGAGGGATGAAAAACACCCATGAATATAAAAAATGTGTTTGTGATGAACCTCGTGAACCTAAAAAGTAAATAAAAAAAGAAAATAAAAACTTGTAAAATGTCTATACCACATACGGTCATCTTACCCATGAACCTTATCACAAGATGCGATATGTATATGATTAACTTAACATCTTTTAACATGTAATTTTATAAAATAAAATTTTACCATCTAAGTATGGAGAAATATCATAATAAATATAAACTCATCTTCAAATCATTAAGGAACAACATCTAGGTTAGTATCAAAAAAATACAAAATATTACGTTTTTTTGTGAAAACAAAGGTCGAGTCTTGTTTGGAAAAAAAAAGTCAACATTAGCTACCAAAACCAAGTAACTTTGCCAAAAAGAAAAAAAAAGGTATTCAACTCCTAAGAGTTTTTCTTAAAATTTATTGAAAGTTTAGATTTAAATTGAAAAAGTGAAAAATATAGAAAATGTATATAAATATTTACTCCACATACCATTTGATTTGTATAAATCATAAAAATTTCAGTTACACAAAAATGTCATGATGGTACAAAAAAAATACCCATCTTTACCAAAAAGAAAATTTGCATACTTAAAAATGATGGTATATTATAAAATAAAATGAGATAAACAAACATTGTCTTATAATACTAAGGGTGCATCAACAACTATTCTTTTATATATATATATATATATATATATATATATATATATATATATATATATATATATATATATATATATATATATATATATATATATATATATATATTAACTTTTTAGTTGGTGATCCTTATATATATAAAAGTCAAAACAAAGATGGCATTTACAAGTCAACTTTAAAAAGGTCAATGACAATATAAAATCGTGCTAGTCAATTAAACATACAATTACCAACCATGATATTATATATACATCATCATTCATCATCAAATACAACTTTCATTTGCAAAAAGAATAAAAAAAACGACAACAATGATTATGTTAAGTACCAAAGTATATATCTATTATATTATAGGTTTAACGACTTCTAAGAATTATATATTTAATTATTTAAAATATCTTTACATATATGAGTCTAATGGTCATATATTTACAAAAATAAATTTAACAGTTATATATATATATATATATATATATATATATATATATATATATATATATATATATATATATATATATATATATATATATATATATATATATATATATATATATATAATAGGTTTAAAATCAATGTATTACATGGATTAATTATAAAATAAATAAATATGAAGGTATAAATATTTAAGAACTTTTGAATTATAAGAAAATAAGAAAAATAATAAATTATTAAAACTGATTTTTCATTTAAATTTAAATAAATAAACAAAATAAATTAATAAATTTTAATTTGAAAATTTTGAAATAAGAGTCTAAGTCTATTAATGAAACCGATATTCATTTATTATTAAATTTATTGTAATTATTATATTAAAATATTGTATAAAATTTATTAAAATATAAAAACTCATAAAATAACATGTGGAAAATAAATTAATTCAAAATAACCACAAAGACACTTGACAAATTGAATGAGAGTGTGACGTGTGGCAGAAAAACTTTCATTTAGTAGAGCGTGTGTTTATATATATATATATATATATATATATATATATATATATATATATATATATATATATATATATATATATATATGGTTTAGTTAATATTTAATCACTTAACTTTTAACTTTGTGCTTATTTGATCACTTAACTTGTTTTTTCACAATCTTTTTCAACTTAACTTTGTACTTAGTTTTCATGTTTTCTTTTTTTCAAAATCCATTTTACAACTTTATTTTTTATATGTTTTTCAATAAAATGTTTTTAGAACTTTGAATATTTGCTTCGGCAATTAGATATAAATTAATTGAACTATAAAATTATTAACCAAATTGGAAATCCTAGATCTATGAGTTTGTCACTCATCTAATAATGTTGCATCATTAACAACTTTTTCATCTTGATCCATAATACCATAATCAAACAAAATAGATAATTTAGTATTAGAGAAAAACTAATAACAAAAACAAGAAAAAAATGAGGTTTTTTGTTTGAAAAACATATGTAGGCTGTTACTACTCTTATAACAGGTAAGCTTTCATATAAGCAAGTTGCTAATTATGCAACTTTAGTGGATGCATGAAAAACAAATAATTATAGAATTATCATTTGGGTTAATAATTATATAGTTCAGTATTGACACTTAATTGACAAAATAAATATACCTAGCTTTAAAATAAATTATGAAAAAAACGGAAAAAAAATGTTTTAAATTTGAATTTTGAAAAAGAAAAACCATGAAAGTAAAATAGAAAAAGTTAAGTTGCAAAAAAGAGATTGTAAAAAAAGTGCAAAAATGCAATAAAACTGAAGATATAAAAAAAATTATTAAATATAACATGAAAAACAAAAGTAAAAGAAATTAAGCTATAAAAATGAATTGTGGATAAAAAAATATAGAACTAATGAATACAATTTCAAAAGTTTAGTGATTAATTATAGCTTAAAAATGTTTAATAACCTAAAATAGTAAAAAAAAAATAAATAAATAAAAAATAGTAACCTGTTATTGCCGATCATAGTGACCATTTTAGTAAAAATTTAAAAGTTAAGTGACTTTAAAATTTTAAAACGAGTTAAGTGACCAAATGAATATATCGTTTAACAATTTGACCTACGTTTTCTATGCTTAGATTCGTAAGTATCTCCTTGTGATTAACCTAGGCTAAATTTCTTGTAACCCAGACATATGGTAGAAATATCAGTTCGGAAAGTATTTACACGATCAAAGGGGTATCCAGATCTCCACGATAAACCCTACCCTCTTTCTAACACGAAATTATGTAAGTAACAAAGTGTGAATTGAGAATGTAATCACAACAAAATAATGTAAAAATGATATTTAAAATGGTATCGGTGATGCCAAGTCCTAGATTATATTCATTGAAATGTTCTCTTGTATTTGTATATCATTCATTCATGTGTATATTAACTTAATCAAAATAAAGAAAAATAAATAAATAAATTATATGTACCTACAAAGTTGATTGGCAATTCTATTTTATGTCTAACAAAGATGAATGACTTGAATGTATATTACCAAGCATGTTTTACGATCTTTACCAGGTTATCCTAGAAGATATATCCATCATAAATATTTTAAGTTTTTATCAATTTACACAATGAATAAAGTATAAAGTATCCTATAACAATCTAAATATATATAAGATGATGACGTTTTAATAACAAGTTAAAATATCATTTCATAATTATGTCAAGCAGAAATCTTTTTATTACACAATACACATAACAATAAAAAGTTCAAAAACATGGTTACCTAAACAGAATAACTTTCATCTCATTTTCCCTACCTAAATTAACAGTTCTTTGAAAGTTTTTCCAAATTACATCGCCGAAGAAAAAATAATCTCTCTAGTATTGAAGCTCATGCTCGGCTGAAACTGCATGCAATTGCCGGATTCTTCGAGTGCCGGTGGCGCGTTAGATCTACAGCTGCTGTCGGCACTGTTAGAAGGAGGGTGATAGTACAGACGAGCAGTTTGAGGACAGTGAGAGTGAAATCTAGCCACCATTCTCACCCCTAAATCCAACATCTCCACGTATTTCCCCATAATTATAACTATCACAGGTCCGACGATACTCACGACTGACTCACCTGGAATAGATTCTAAAACTGGTGAGCGCGAGATCTGATCGGTTCTGATAGCGCCAAAAGCATGCAAAGTAGAAAGAGAGAGTTTTATTTGTGGTGTTTGAGTTGCTTTGAAACAAGAGAGGAATCAGAGGTTTTATAGCGTGGCGGTGGCAGACGATCGAATTGAAAGCATCTTCCTTCCGTCTTCATTTGACTTGGACCTTTCCACTTGTCTTCTCTAGTGGCTTTGACCCTTTCTATATATATTATAATGTTTTTATTTTTATTTGACTTGTGCACTTTAAGGCTCAAATCACCCAACACATACTATGCCAATTGCACATGTCAAATGCCCACACAAGCTAGTTGGCACCGCTTGAACCTTACAACGCCACAAAGAAATGACTAATGACATTTATTGTTTTGAGTAATTTTGTTGAATTGTTTGGTGTTATTTTTTTAATGGCATTTGGTATATTAAGTAATTTGCATTTTAAATTTTGGTTATTCGAATGCAAGTTGTTGGAAGTTGTGCTGTGGTGGATGTTTTAAGGAAAAAAGAGATGAGCATTGCTTGAATTCACTAGAGAAAGTTGTTTAAAGCACCATTTTTCTATATAACTTCTTTTCGGGAAACGCCTCCTCCGATACCATTGACGAAATCAGTTACACATATACCCCATTAATCTGTCATGTACCCTACAAGCTTACAACACATATCAAAGAGTTTCAAGTGTTAATTAAACCCCAAAAGAGATATGAAGCTAGCATTGAGAACGGCATGTGCTGAAGAGGGGTTTCATATTATAACCATAAAAACAGTGAAAATCAGGCTTGAAGCGGTATGTCGTGCTAAATATGGTAAATGGTGGATCAAGGGTACGAGAGATGAATGTGCTAAGCTTTTCAACTCGGTAAGTTAGTGGACAAACACACTTGTTCAAGAATACATATATCTACGCACCCGACATTTTCAAGCCAACATTAATGTGTTTGTTCATCACATAAAAGGATTTACTGGGTGATGGAACCGGAAAAATGTTGTGGGGACAACATATTATTTGCAATCTTAACAATCGATCCAATGTTTATACTTCCTACTCGTTTGCATGGTGGGTGAAATGTACAAGTTTTAAGGGGGTCTCTTAAAGAAGGTTTTTTCAGACTCCATGTGTATTGTTGCAATCTAGAAAAGACGAATGTGAAAAGTGAAAACAATATCGTAAAAGGTAGGGTATGATGATGTGTTAATTTAATAGATTTTATTTTGATAAAAAGAATCAGCCAATCAAAATCCACCATCCCATTTTCTCTCCTCTCTCCTCTCACTATGTAGGTGCCAGGTTCTTCTTAGTGCCCCCTTAGCGCATGCATGAAAGGGGGTGGTGTAGTGCATGCTTAGCATGCCTTGGCAAGAGCTCCTAGTGAGCCTATTCCCTATGGCCTAAGAGCATTAGACATGTCTTCCCAAATAGTCTTGGAGTCAATAGCATGTTCTTCTTTTCAAATGGGTTCGGAGTTTCCGGGTCGCACCTAAAACTTATTTAGTTAGGGTGATCAATGCCACCCATGGCCATCACAACCTTCTTTTCCTTTACCTACGAATGCCAGGAACTCGATTTGGATTATTATTCTCAAGGCGTTGGAGAGATAGGAGTTAACCTTTTTCCTACTTGTAAAAAGAAAGTAGGATACAATTATCTTACTTCGTTTTAGGAGGACTTGTGGATTCGAGATGTGGCTATGAAATTGTAGTTTCTAGACTTTTTTCCCTTGAGTTGGATAAGAATATTATAGTTAGAGCCAAGATGCAACAACATTACAGATTTGAGTCTTTTTCATCGGAGACCAAGAGATGGAGTTAAAGGTATCCGGTGATCTGAGCTCACAAACTTATTATTTTTGGTTGTGCTTTCTTCGAACCCAGATAAGTAGGGCTGTAAACGAACTGAACGTTCGGCGAACCGTTCGTGAACTGTTCGGCGGGAAGTTCGTTTATGTTCGTTTATTTAATAAATGAACGAACATGAACAAAAATTATCGTTCGTTTAGTTAAATGAATGAACATGAACAATAGTCTCGTTCGTTCATTTATGTTCGTGAACATTCGTTTATGATGTTTATTTACGTTCGTTTATGTTCGTTCGTTTAAGTTTATTTATATTCATCTATATTCAATTATTTTTTATTATATTGCTATATTATATGTTCGTTTATGTTCATATATGTTTAATTGTGTTTTTTTTATCTTTGTTCGTTTATGTTCGTTTAGCATGTTAACGAACATAAATGAACGAACATGAACAAAGTAATTTGTTAAACGAACGAACATGAACAAGAAAATATCGTTCGTTTATCCGTTTGTGTTCGTTTGTTGTTCGGCTAACTTAAACGAACGAACATGAACAAGACCTTGTTCGTGTTCGTTTGGTTCGTTTACAGCCCTACAGATAAGTGAGTTTGGAGATTTCTTGGTTCTAATGATTTCATAATTGGTTCTTCGAGATTGTGTATTTACAAATAGACACTGATTATCACTAATGACCACAATCTTGAATTTATATGCTCAAGAATCATTATTGAGTGGTATTGCTAATAATACATGATCCTATAAAGTCACACATTTATCAAGTTGACACATTTTATATATTTATTATTAATGTGATTATTAATAAATAATATCAATTCTAATATTTAATTAGGAAATAATTTTTGTTTTGTGAAAATAATAATTAAAAGAGAGTATAACTAATTATTATATCATATGGTATGATAAAATAAGTCATGTACAAAATTTTGGACACTTTGGTTAACCGTGATTATGTTAATGAGTTAACATACCATGGTTAATAAATTAGAAGACAATTTTTGTCTTCTTTCTTAAGCATGGCCGAATTTTTCTAAGGCATGAGAGATTGTTTGTCAACCTGACAGCTTTGTCCCCCATGTTTCTGAAAAGCTACCACTACTTTATATTATTATAATCTAAATGTATGTCCTGCATGAGAGTGTATCAGTAGGGCCTTTACATGAGTTTTTGGCTAGTTTTTTTTTACTCTTTTATTCTTCATTTGGTCACCATAAAATCATAAGTAGTAAAGAGTTCTCTTCATTTGAAGTTTGGTGCTTTACTTTGGTGATTAAAGCTTTCTTGAGTTGTCTCCTTTAGTTCTTATTTTAATTAAGTACTAAAAGGCTTAAGATACCCAATAATACAAGGAAGAACTAACATTCCAAGTGCTTTAATCTTGATGGTGGATACTTGTAGAGAAAATCATACTATTGTGATTTTTCTATCTTTATCAACACCCCAAAACCAAATAGGTTTAAAGACTTCAAAAGTTGTCACTCTAAATCACTATATGGTTGTTTTAATATCATTCTAACATCTACAAATGGATCCTAGATGGTTTGGTTTCGTTATAAATTCAAAAATAAATTTGTTATTTTTAACGCTTTTGTTGACCAGTTTTTATGAAAAACACTTATATTTTGTATCAATCACAAAGAGTTTCTAGCCCAGCAGTACTAAATTTTTCCCTCCGTAGTTAAGGTTGAGGGTTCAAATCTCGTATAAGACATAGATGGAATAACAAGTAGTTTAAGAATCTATTAGATTTTTCGTTTCAAAAAAAATTGTCACTAATGTTCCTAGTCTGTTGTGTCGCTTTATTCTTATCAATGTAAATTTTAGGGTAAATTACACCAATAGTCCCTTGTGTACATGCCAGAAAGCATGTTTAGTTCCTATTTTCAAAATTTAACTTGGACCGTCCCTAGGTTTGATTTTTCTTGCACGCTTAGTCCCTATTGACATGAAATGACTGTTTTACCCTGGATTATTTCTTTTTAGATTTTCTTTTATTTCCTTATTTGTTTTAAATAATAAAAAAGAAAATAAACTAAAAATCCACACCCCTCCTTATGACACTTCCGTTCTCCCCTTTTCTCACCTCCTTATTTCTCTGGTAACACCTCGATCTAAAACCCTCCATCTGAGACTTCATCGACGACTTCTGATGGTGGGGCACCGGTGAAGAAGGTGATCGTCGACTTCCGACAAAGCATCACCATCGTAGTTTCGCTCAGAAACCTTCTCCTATTTTCTGTAACTCCACTGGCGATCAGCCGATCACGCATCTGCAAATCCGACCTGTAACTCTCAAATACCTAGCCCAAACCGGTGTAAAACCCAACAAGTGGCGATGAACGCTCCATCTTCGGCGAACAGGTGGTGACGAAGACGAAGGTTTTCAGTTGAACAAATGTAGACTCAACTGTGGAGCTTCATTCTGACTGTAGAGATAGATGTTTTAAACGAAGATCTGTCGAAACCCTAACCGACGTTAATAGCGGCACACATGTGAGCCGGTGACGGTGAGGGTGGGCGTCGAAAGGAGCCTCTGTCAGATTTAGATTAAGAAGAGGGTAGAGAAAGAGCGAAGACCATCGCAGGAGCCTCCGTTAGATCCCGTCGTTTCCGCCAGAGAAGACGAGCACTAGATTCCGATGAAAAGGCTCTAGAACGAAGACCACAACCACCCATCAGAAAGGGGTGAGGAATGTTCGTCAGAGGGTGGAGACGGTGGTGGTGGTCTGCAGTCTGTATGTTGTGTTTGGGTGCTTCTTTCCGATCAGTAACAATGAAGGGATGGATGGGTTGGGGAAAATGAAGGGGAGGGGGTTTATTTTATTTTTTTAATTGAAATTCATAATAAAAACATTAAATTAATTTAAAAAATAAAATATAAGGGTATTATGATCAATTTAAATTAGGCATGGACTAAGTTTGCAACAAAATCGTCTTTCAGGGATGAAGCGTGTAAGGTTAAAACAAACAAGGGATGGTCCGAGTTAATTTTTGAAAATAGGGACTAAACACGCTTTCTGACATGTACACAAGGGACAAATGATGTAATTTACCCTAAATTTTATGGTTTGTCGTTTATCTTTGAACGAACTCCCTACTAGACTCAATCTTTCTATTGGAAGGATTGATATCCCCTTTTATGCGTCCAAATTGTGATAGGGGTAGATTTTGTGGCTCATTTGTTATTTAGTTGTCATGTTACTAGTTGTCACTGTGGCATCTATGTACTTATGGGGAGATGGTGGCATCTAAGTGCTTTTAGGGGGATGGTGGGACATTCATGTGTCGGCTATGGATTCTTTTTAGGAGTGGTTAGTGTGGTTCTCTACCTTGTGGTTGCATAAAATGAAAAAGGATTTCTTGGAGGTGATTTTTTTGGACTATGTGGTAGCATTTGCCATTTGTGGCCTTTTCGAAATTCCCTTTTGTGCGGTGTAGATAGACCTAAAAAGTTCTTCTTCTGCTTCTTTTTTTTTTTTAAATAAAAATGTAACTTAAGATTTATTTGGGTGAATAGTAGGAGTAAGATTATGGACGTTAATTGAGTTTCTTTTCTTCAAAACCCAATTATTGATATTTCCTCCATGTAATCGGTTTTGTTTTTGTCTAGCTTTTTGATAGCTTAATTAAAGTTATGTCGTTCAAAAAATATAGCACAACATGGGTGATTGTTACTACCATGTAGGGATGAGCATTTGACTCATTTGACTCGGTAGACTGACCAGGTTGGAAAAAAATTGCAACCGGAGCTGAAACGAAATCGATATATTCAATCCGGTTCTAGGTTCTTCGTTTCCTTCTAAATCGGTTACAAGTTCTTCGGTTCTCGCCATGTTTCAAACCGGTTTCGGAACAGAACACATCACTAATGAGCACACTTACTTGTGGAACCGAACCAGCTCTAGGATATTCTCTCCTGTTTCCGGTTCTCAATTTCACATTAAATTGATTCTCAGTTCGGTTCAAAACCGATGCTCACCCCTACTACCATGTATCAACAAAACAAATGAAAATTTAAATTAACTAAAATAGAAATTTACCTTGGGCACTCTAAAATATTTATATAAACGTCTATGAAATACTATTCAAAATGTTGTAAACCATCACAACACCTTGAATACACGTTTTACCTACACAGTGATACAAAACACCGAGATCTATAGTAACAACTTAATACGTTTTTGTAAGCAATATTTTGGAGTCCGAAATAACAAGAACATGTCCGAATTTCAAAGAATAAATCTAGAACACACCATTTTCATTCTAAAAAATGTTTCATTTTTACTAAATCTAACAAAAAAATTAATAACACCAAAACAAAATAGATTCTGATACAAAAACATATCAATGTGCAATTTATTTGAAAAACCAGCAATAGTATCAGAAAATGAGAGCAAAGTAATGATTATATATATCCAAAACTCAAAATGGCCACGTTTCTACCTGTTAATTATTTTGGTTAATGGAAAGAAATGACATTTTATATCCCTATGTTTTTTCGTTTTGAGTTTGATCTCTTTTAAGAAAATTTATTGACTTCCGATCCGATCTCATTAAAAGTGGAAATTTTAGTACAGCCTCAAAAGAAAACTACACATGATGGTTGCAAACTGCTGAAGCTTATTAAAAGCTGAACCAATTTAATCTGCTATTTGTATTTGAATCGCAGGGAAAACAAATTGATATCATAAAAAATTGAATTTATATCTTTGTATTGCTAATACTACAAAAAATAATGAACATTTCAGTGTATGAATCGACGAATGTTTAGGAGTTCCTCCGATTTACATCGCGGAAGAAAAAATAATCTCTCTAGTATTGAAGCTCATGCTCGCCTGAAACCGTCTGATTTTGCCGGATTCTTCAAGTGCTTGTGGCGCGTGAGATCTACAGCTGCTGTCTACGGAGTTTGAAGGAGGATGGTAGTACAACCGGGCAGTTTGAGGACAGTGAGAATGAAATCTAGCAGCCATTCTCACCCCTAAATCCAATATCTCAACGTATTTCCCCATTATAATTAACAAAACAAGGACGACACTCACAAACACAGGTGAAATTGAATCAGACGCCGATGAAGATGGTATCTGATCGGATCGGAGATCGCCTGAAAGATGAATCGAGAGAGAATTTTGAAAGGTGAAAAGGTTTGTGGTTTGGGTTGAAAGGCCGAGGGTTTATATGGTGTCTCGATGCAGTTCCTTTTGACTTGGACCCTTTCGCCTTTCTTTCCACTTCTTTGACCACTTTTTATTATACTTTTCAATTGGATTCCCTTTTTTTAACTCCATTTGCATTATATGACCCCTATTATTTCTTTTTCTTTTATTTGCATTGAAATTTGAAAATTGAACATTACAGTTTTATTAAGAAGGTAGAGTTTTACACGGCATATTTGATAAATTTTGAAAATTGAACATTATAATTTTATTAAGAAAGGTAGAGTTTCACACAACATATTTGATAAAATTAAGGGATAATGACTTATTACAATTTTATTAAGAAGTTAGAGTTTTACACAGCATATTTGATAAAATTAAACGGTAATGACTTTAAAAATGATAATTTATTTTTTGATTTGTACAAATTTGTTACTGAATTTTTTTTCTTTTATTGTCACATTTTCTCATTGTATATGTTGAACCGATCAAAAAACATCATTATGACCTGCTATGGAAGATATAGCCGATTTCTCATGTATTTGACAACTCTGACGACGCTCTGTTCATTTTCTCTAGCAAAACATTATTTTTTCGGCGACAAGTGAAAACCCATTTTTTTCTGAAATCACTCATGCAAATCTAGATTCATGTTTATCTAATACGTATACAAATTTGTAAAATAAGTTCATCAACGGCAGATCTAGCAAAACACAAAATCATGTAATGATTTTCAATTTATGAAATAACAGACATACACACACTCAAATTTGAAGAAGCTCTAAAAAACACAATGAACAAACGGTGATGAACCAAACAAAGATTTGAAGAACACGATGAACAAACTCATCAGAAAAAAGCTTATATTTCGAGTTCATTTCAAAAGAACCCACATGAAAGTCAAATTCTTTCCAGATTATGCTCACAAACTTAGACCTTCAGTTTAGTTATTTTTCAAAAATCGATTTTTTTTTTTTTTAAAAAACCACCTGAAACCCTAAAGCTTGATTTCACTTTTAGAGGTTGAAATCAATTCAATGGTTTTTAAATTCAAACATAAATGAAGATAAAATACAAATACACATGATGAACACACATATACATACCTTCGATCTGTTTGAACACGAACTCGAGGGTTTTCATGACGGGTTTTGAACACATCTTGAAATTTCGTCAGACCTTCAAGCTCAATTTTGGGAAAACCTTCACATGTGAGTGTGTTCGTCTTCAAGGAACCCAAAACACACCAAATCAATTTCTTCTTTGTTCTTGGAAATCGATTTCTGGGTTTGAAAACCCTTACTCGACTTAGGGTTGTTCTTGAGTTAGATTTTTGGTCTTTGTGTTTATGGAAAACACACACAAAACAATAGGTATGGTTTTATGTTTGTGTTGAAGATCGCATGTGCATGTGTGTGTGTGCGCGCATCTGATATAGGGTTCTTGAGTTTGAAGAAACAACTGATGTGGGGTTCTTGCATTCATCTAATCTGTGGTTTTTGTGTTTCTCTGATATTTGAAGAAATAACTTACAAAAAAAAAAAAGATGCAGATGAAGAATGAATGATAAAGGGACAAAATGGATTTTCACATGTGGCCGGAAAAATAATGTTTCCCCGGAGAAGATGAATATAGCATCGTCGGAGTTGTTAAATATGTCGAAAACCAGCTAAACCTCTTATAACAAGTCATAAGGATGTTTTTTTTAATGGTTCAACAAGTTCAAAGAGAAAATATGGACAAAAAACCTAGTGACTAAATCTGTACAAATCGAGAAATAAATTACCCATTTAAGTCATTATCCTTAAAATTAACAGACAGCTATAATAAAATTAATGGACGACTCTTTGTTACTTAATAGATGGAAGCTGGAATTTTTAATTGTGCAAAAGTATTCGGTAAAACTACTTGAAATAACTTTTAGTTTTAAAGTTTTTTGTTTAGAATAAAACCTAAAAGCTTTAACTGTTGAACAAATTTTTTTTCCCATTTTTTTTCTTGAAATTTGAAAACTAAAAGCTCTTAAAAGTTACGTGTCAAACACAAGTCATGCTTTTTAAACTCATTACATTAATTTATTTTTTTTGGCATAAGTGGATTAAAATCAAAACATCCATGATTTCGTTAACAGGATAGCTAGTGTTACACTATCCGATCTTTAAAGATTTTTCAGACAAAATGAGTTAAGTATAAAATTGAATATTAGATCGTAGTACGATCATGGGGAAGTTGTTTGCAGTCTAACACACCTAACGAAGTGTTTTAACTTTCGTTAATATATATCTTAGCGGGTTGGTTTTACGTTTTTTTCAAAAGTTCGTAATTTTTGCATATGAACCTCGTTTTTGCGTTCTTTATATCCACATAATCGTACTTACTTTTTTTTCTTATTTGGTGTATTATTTTTACAAAACAATACTTAATACATATGTCTATTTTAAATGCATGTTTTAATTCACTTTTTATGTATTACGACGAGTGTTTATTTGTCAACAATTTGCACCCATCTAAGACTTGAACGATATTCCGTATGCAATTTCAAGTATAAAATTTTATTTGCATCAAAATGAGTGGAATGCGTCGCATTAGGTCTATTACATCGTGTTTGACACATTGTGACCGACGATCTTGATTAAATTTGACGGTTTGTCACAAGACCTTAATTGAGTTTCTTTTCTTCAAGAGCCAATTATGTAATCTTTTTTGTTGTTTTCTAGCTTCATGGTAGCTTAATAAAAATTTTATCGTGCAGAAACAAAATATCCAAACCATTGTGTTGTCGGCATTTGCTCATGAATTTACATGCTAAGGCCGAAGAAAAAAATATACAAGAGTGGAAATATGGTTTTGGGAGATATGCAAGGCATACATAATGTTTGATTTCCATTTAAGTTTGCCTAAGCTTTGGAAGGCTAAGAGCCTTTCTTTTGGAGGTCGTCTAACCTTGGTCAAGTCTATCATCAGCTCTATAAGGATTTATTTGATGTTGATGTTCTTGACTCCAATTTCTATCATCAATTCCTTGGAGGCTCTACGAACAAATTTCTTCTGGGGTGCTGATATGGATGACAAACTTATGCATTGGGCGTGTTGGGATATATATATATATATATATATATATATATATATATATATATATATATATATATATATATATATATATATATATATATATATATATATTAAGAGATGGTCATTAAACAATCGTCGATAGATAAACACCAAACTACATGCCTATGAAATCATAAACATATTCCATTCTAACGGGAGAGTATGATAATCAAAATGTACAGTTGAAACCAAAAGATGGACATGCATGCGTTCGTGTCCATCTATGTTGTCGGTCGATTCATCAAAACCGAGGTCATCCAGTAAGAGAAGTCTAAGTCTAAGGTTAACGTTACTAATTCGTAAAATCAACAATATCCCATATTTTATTTTAATAACCTGTAAAATTGTATGTCTGTTGAATCGAGTTGTTATTTGACGTTCATAAAGTTTACAACGTCGTGTTATTCATATAAAATTGTATTGTACTTCAGATACCGTACTCATCATTTAGATACGATGGTATACAAGTTAATAAGAATTATATTGATAGCTTTCATTTACAACACGCCGTAAAACCTAAGTCATAAGACTTCTTTGTACTTGATATAGCTAGTGTTTCCCTAAATAATCAAAAATGGTTATGAAACAAGAGGTAGAAAATTTCACCCTAAACCATAGTGTTTCGTTTAATCTATATGTCACATACCTAGCATGTGCATTAAGGTCTAAGGACCAAGAGAAGTGAAAAAAAACACCACTGATATGCCAACTTTTTTTAACAATGACTTTTTTTTGTTTCTTCTTCAATTATTACTATCATGTAGGGATGAACATTTGATCAGATTGAACCAGACCGATAAAAAAACTCAGAACTGGAACTCGGGTATTCAATCTACTTCTCATTATGTTTCAAACCAAGTCTAAAACTGAACACATCCCTAAAGATCACACTTACTCGTAGAACTAATCCGAACTAGAATTGAAACCGGTTGAACCGGAATCGGGGTATTCAGTATGGTTTATGTTTCTTAATTTCCCACTAAATTGGGTCCCGGTTCTTCGATTCTCGATCCGGGTCGGGACTTATACTCATCATTACTGTTATGTATCAACGAAACAAATAAAAATTGAAGTTAAATAAATACACCTTTGCGCACTCTAAAATATATAAAACGTCTGTGAAATACTATTCAAAATGCTATAAACCATCAACACATGTTTTACCTACACAATGATACAAAACACTTACATCTACAATACCATCTTAATACGTTTTTATAAGCAAGATTTCTGAGACTGAAATTAGAAGAATATCTCCGAATTTCGAAGAATAAATCTAGAACACAACATTTCTATTCTAAAAAATGTTTCAGTTTTACTAAAATCTAACAAAAACTTTGAAATAAACAAAACCAAAATAGATCATGTTACAAAAACATATCAATGTACAATTTATTTGAAAAAACAACAATGATTCAAATTTAAGGAATTACCGAAAACTTTTAAAAAATGGGAGCAAGCCCCAAATTTTTCTATTTAATAAACGAAACATTTTGTCCACGTGTCACTTCCACCAATCATTTTATATCAAAGTGAATTTCCAATTATACCCCTACTTCATTCAATATTCAATCCAATTCGGCTTTTTTTATCTAAATTTTGCTTTTTACATATATAGTCACTGATTTAACATCTTAATTGACTTAAATGGTCCATATTTCATAGTTTTTCTAAAAAAAATTAGTTAAAAGTTAACAATTAATTTAATTTTTCACAACATACTCTTATAACACTAATGGTTTTCCAATTAATTTATACAAGTACTATACCTTATGCTAATACTTTCTTTATGCAACATATTCTATTAAATTATATTTTTTAATTGATACTTAAGAAATGAAAGTGTTGAACTCAAATTTAAAAATTAAATAAACAATATATAAATGTCTTAATTATTTATTTGTTTTAAATTTAATATACATTATTATTTACAAAAATAACCTTTTACTATCATGTTTTTAATAAACTATTTTAATAAAATTTTATAAATATTTGATTTTTTATTATCATTTTTACTCATCAATATTATTTTTCTTTTTTATCTGTATTTTCCACGGGTTGTAACCGAATTGTATATATTCAAAATTCCAAATGGCCCTGTTACTTGCTTTCCATTTATTTCAGTTAATGTAAAGAAATAATTGGTCATTTTGTTTAAATGAATTATCAAATAGAGTTTGTGAAGGGGGATTACTATTCATTTGGTTTCATTTTTTCATAAATGTTTTTCCGTACTTTCCACATTCCCTTCTAATATATACAGATCCCCTCCACCCTTTTTTTTCATTACTAATCGAATATCTAACAAAAATGATTAAATCTATATCATATTAACATCTTTCTAAAAACAACGATTTTGATATTGTTCGTAGTAGATTTTAATGTTTATATTTTTCTCCTCAAGATATTTTGATTTAACGGTTTTTATCTTTTATAATTTTAAAATTAAACTGTTGGTATTTTATATAATTTTAAAATTACATTGTTGGTATTTTATAAGTTACAATTTTTGTCCCTTTTATACTTTAAAGCTATATTTTTATCTCTTATATTATTTCTTTTTATAGTTAATGATTTTATCAATTGAAAATTGAAATTTAATGAGCTCAAATCTCGTTGAAAAAATAAATGGTAATTTAATAGTAAATTAGTCTACCGTTTAAAAAAATTTGTAGAAGGTTTTCCTCTCAACATGGAGATTAACTTAAATAATAGTTTATTTTAATTCACAACCATCAAATCATGTTTTTATAGAGAATTTAAATATTTTGTTTACATTTTATTACTATTTATTTTTCTAATAATATGTGAAATTTATTAATTCTTTATATCTTAGAGAATCAACAATCTATTGAACTTTATGGAATTTAATGGATTGCTACATCGTCACATCAATATTTTAATTTTTTTATTTTACTATAATTTTTAACATCCACATTCCATTAAACTCTGCAAAATTTAATGGATTTCTATATTTGATTTGAAATTTAGTTGAAAAAAAAAAAAGATTCATTGAATCGATCATACATCTTACTCGTTCAACTATTCTT